TTATTACTCTTTTTTTAAATAAATTATTAGAGAATGTATATGAATATGGTATCACTGATGTTGGCATTGGAGAAAGTTTAATTTTTAGTTTATATTATTTTTAAAAAAGTTAGAATTCATAATATTATTCAGATATCCATAAAAAATTTCAGGTGTATTTTTCCCTCAAAAATTTATTTTTTATAATTTATTATTATTCCTTCAAAAATTGAACTTTGAAAAAATTCAGATTTATCACTCCATCCTAGATTTCCCTGTCTCCATTAGAAAAAAAAATAAAAATAAAAAAAAAATTAAAATATAACATTCTGTATACATTTTTAGATTTTTTAATATTTTTGGGGCTAGCCGAATAAAAATTACCGCAAAATTCTCAAAAAACGATTGAATAAAAAAATCCAAAGTCTCTCACTCCCCCACTCGAAATTCTCCCTTAAAAGCCTGCGATTTCATTATCAAATACTCGACAAGAAATTGAATTTTTCCCTCTAAATAATATTTTTCCCCAATTTAACCGACTCATAAATATCTTTTATGCTCCAGCAACACGCATATGAAAAAAATTGGCGAGGGGTGGGTGGGGGGTGGGTGGGTTGAATAAACACATATACGCGATATATGAAATAACTGGGCAATGGCAGGATGCTCCAGGATGTAGTCTATATGAGGCACTTCCTCTTGTGCTCGGCTGACCGTCGGCAGTTATTCCAAGTGCCGACGGTGGGGTCGCACGCGCACCCCATGACGCCCATAATGCGGCACGAGTGAGTGAATGTTACCTCCTCATCCTCAAAATCCACGATATTTTCTATCTCTCTCACTCTCACAAGTTTTTCCCTCACCTCCTCGTGGGGGGTGGCAGCGGGTGGGGGTGGGGGCGAGGGCGAGGGCAAGGGGGGGAAGGGTTCCCCGACGATGATCGATTTGTCGATCGATGTTTCCTCATATGTCCCCTCTCACCGAAACGAGTTATGCAATACTAACGAGTCTAGCCATTCATACGTTTCACTCCACTTCCACTCTCTTGCTTCCCGGATGACAGTTAATCGACGCCAGTCATCAGTTCACACACACGACTGATAAAAAAA